CCCCCTCCCCTACCTTAATGGGTGAGTACCAGTTGCGTGGCGCCGGCGGTTTCTGCATGCCATTGTTAAGAACCCGAGGGGGTGGTGACACATACTCCTGGTCAGGCATCTTCACTTTGGCATTTTTGGCCTTCTCCAGCTTTGCTCCTTCTTCAGTGGAGCCTTTCTCACCCCAGCGAACCTCCATCCTTTTGATCCCCCCTACGCCTCTTCCTCCATAGTAGGAGGCATCAACAGTCGGCCATTTCTTCTTGGGGGCTTCAAAGTCCTCATCATCCTGCGGGAGAGCAACAGGAAATGTTTTTTTAAATGTATTTGTTGTTTAACCATTTCACCAATGTTTATCACCCCTTAGCTTGAACTAAGAGGCAGTAAACATTCAGTACTGTGCAAAAGGCCCGCCCCTTATTTCTTCACACATTTCTAGGAAAAAGCGAAATAGGAGGAGCAATTTATTTAAACATCTGCTAACTCACATGCATGGAAATCCAGTATATAAGGCAAAAAAAGAGTTTTGACAGTTCTAACAAGCTTAAAAGTCAATATTTGGTATGATCGCCTTTATTCTTCAACACAGCCTGAAGTGTCTTAAATAAGCTTTCCTGCCTTTTGTTCCATTCTCTGTCAAGAAGATCCCACTCTGCTTCAATAATGTGGAACCAACGACTGATCGAGTTCCATTGTGTGTTTTTTCTATCCAGGTACACTTTTACTGCATTGGCAGTGTGTTTGGGGTCATTGTCATGATGAAAAATGAAGCTGCTGCCAATTTGATGCTTTCCAGATGATATGGCACAGTGGATCAAAATCTGATGGTTGTTTTTTTTGTGTGTATTTCCATCAATTTTGACAAGCTGCCCAGCGCCACTGGCTGAAATGCATCACCAAACCATGACAGAGCTTCCACGTGTTTTACAGATGCTGTAGGCACTCACTCACTTCATAAGCACTGACGATAATTTGAACAAATTTGGATTCCTCACTCTCAGCTGCCACCCTTTCACTGAGATGAATTCTGATGGAGCTTCAGTGAACAGCAGACGGATCGACTGAAGTGCCAGGTGCATCTCTCGGATCCTGTGTCAGGTCTTTTTCCCTATTTGAGGACATTTCCAGATACTGCCCATCTGCTGCAGATGTCCCTTTCGTGTCCAGTTTCCTCAAATTTTTTAAGGACACACTGCACAACATGCAGAGATATACCAAGTGTAACTCTTTTTGAATCATCTTGTTCATGAAAATACTATTTTATGCCTGTAACACTGTATTATCTTTGGCATGTTTTATGAAACAGGAATATTTCTGTGTTTTTGCCACAGGCTGTTGTAACAAAGTGCAGAAAGATACAGTTTAAAAAATGGTTCCCTGCCAATTTCCAAAGAAAGCCTGGAGAACTATTGCTCAAGAAAACTATGACAAAATAGCCCCTCTTGGAAGCAAAATATAAAGAAAGAGGAGTGGCACAAGACTTTTGCACAGAACTCTTATTTGTTACCAGGCAAACTGGAATGAATGCCCCTCTCTCTCTGTCCTTCCTATCCCTGAGCTGTCATTATGTCCCCATTGCTCTAGTTTGTCTGATCAAAGGAAATGAAAAAGCCCACTAGCCAAACTTGTGATGTTTCAGCTCTTTAATACACCCTGTCTGTCTCGTATCCTACCAGGATGTCGCACAGAGGAGACCGTAATAAAAGCAGTCTTTGAGGCCGTGGATGTCACTGGCATTTAAATTCAGCAGTTAAACCTAATTTTCTGTTTAATTTTGTGCAAACAGATGCAGCCTGATACGTCCCACAGCTGCAGCAGCGTGTTTGAGGACCGTTAAACTGTATCGAATCGAGTCATTTGGACTTGCGGTTTGATCTTAAAACTAAATTGAAATTATGTTTTTGAGTTATTGAGTTATTATTATTGAGTTTTTAAACTTCTTACTGCAGGTCCAAATGGTTAGAATTTTTAAAGGCATAAATTAAAGTCTTGGACACAAAAGCAGTGCTCTTACAAACAGCAGAAATGGTGTGTGTGCATGTGTGTGGTGGGGTGCTGTAAAAGTCACGATGCCGTTGTTCTGAGAGGGCGTTAACTCTCGTCAAATGAATCAGAAAACGAGTGTTGAAAGTTTAAAGCTGGAAAGTCAGTGACGCCGTGTGGTCATTGAGGTTTACGCTGTCACTCTAACAATTACATAAGCTAAACGCTGGCAGCTGTCGAAGTCTTAAATCACAAGCACTCTTTTTCAGTCTTGACAAAACAGATAGGAGGCGGAGATTGTGAAGCTCCTACCGAACTATCCTCCACAGCTGGCGGTGGTGGTGGTTCGTGGATGATCTGTGGGCGAAATAAAAGAGGGGAAGAAAAAGCAGAGTGAATGGGAAGAAAAAGATGGAGAGCATTGTTTAACATCAGGAGATGACAGAAGTCGCAGAGACATGTTTGAAAATGCTTTTTGCGTGTCAGAACAATGCGCGCTTTATGCACAGTGACGTGGCTACACAACAGCAAATGACTGAGAAATGTTTTCCCTCTTAGTCTCTACGACTTACAAGAGCAAGGCGCTGACCTAGAAATCTGCTATCCAGATTTTTTTGCCTTGAGGTTGCTGGTTAAAGCAAGAGAAGAGTAACAACCTCATAAATGCCACATTATGCCTTTTTAGTTTTATGGATAACTTTTATAGTATTTATACGTTAGTTAGTATCACATAAATAGGGAAAGAAAAACAATTTATCCATCTACTTCGATGTTATGCAACTCAAAACTTGGATGAATGCACAACAATGTACACCGCTGCTATCCCCATGTAAACTTTTTCCTCACTGCATGAGCCGTCAGGGTTTTTTCACAGGTGTAATAAAGACAGATTCATCTCCACTAAATGCATTTGGCAAATTAAGTCACTCTGATTCTTATTTGTGATTTTTTTCCTGCACTCTTTTCCAAATCCTGGAACAAAAAGAAGAAAGAAAAAAAAGACTCCCCTTGGTAACCTAGTGTCGTTTTTTCCCAAACACACTTGCTGCACGAACTTCAACTTGCAAGCGAATTGACATGGACAGAAAAAGAGTGAAGGGAGAGAAAGCTGTGTTGTAAAAGCTGACATCTCTCTCTGGCAGGGCTCAGCTTTCCTGTTTCCAGCTCCAGTGGAAACACTGCAGTGCATTTTGAAGAGACCCCATGCCCGTGACAATTTGAAAGGAGATGTACGGATTTGTACAGAGGGCATGTGGTAGCAAGTGAGTTTGCTGAAATACCTTGATGCTAAATAATCCCACAAACATGTTTTTGGAAAGCATTTCCTCATTTCACCGAGTCCTGAGCAGATGGCTTTTGCATAAGTACATTAAAAAACAAAAACAAAAAAAAAAACTCTTTACTTGGAATCAGTTATCCCGCTACTTAAAAACTTCATAGTGACAAAGATATCAACCAAAACATTCAGGCTATAGACGCTTTTGTTTCCACACCACTGGCAACAAATCAAGTAAAGCCATAAATGGTAGAAAAATCTGCTACAAGTTAGATCTTCTTAACTAAATATACTGACTTGGAGGTTACCTGCAGTAACCTCTGGAAACGCAAATAATTTTAGGAGAGGTATAATTGCTTAAACGCATGTTCACCTGATGGCCAAGACTATTTACTGGTTGTGGACTAACTTCAGCAACAAAGATCCCTCAGGAACAGAGTGTTTTTTAAAGTCCAGTAAAAATTAACTCTTTACAGCCTAAATAATAAAAAATTCAATTTTTTGGGAAAATTGAGTGTTTTTTGAACCTTTGGATTAATTAAAAAGAAATGAATCAAATATTAGTTTTAATTTGTATCACTTTTTTTTTTTTGCAAGATGCAAGGATCCAAAGGAGGAATACTGATACACAGACTCCAGGCTTCACTATATTGTCTGTGGTATCAATTAGGACGTAAATGGCTCGGCTACAGCCCCCATACTCTTTGTAGCCATGTAAAATGTAAGAAGGAGCAGGCTGAGAGCAATCTGTAAAGCAGCACGAGTGCATGTTTTCGTTGCAGGGAACTGACCACAGTGCAGCACAGAGGCCAGAACCACCAGAGGAGAGCCAAGACCAGGAGCAGCATCAGGATGAGCAGAGCTACGGCCAGGATGGTCCCATCAGACTGTAAAAGAGACGGACACGTCAGCATAGGCTGTCTGAACACAAAGAGCGCTGGATGTAAACCACTTTTGTGTTCCGTCTGTAGCTCCACACTCTGTGCTGCTCCAAGCCCCCGCTAAAGGCCAAATGCCCCTATATCTTATTGTACTCACACAGCTCACGGTGGTAATTGTGACCGAGCTAGAGATGAAACTGAGACCCTCGTTCATGCTGACATAAAGATTTGCTGCCCTGGCAAAGAAAAAGAAAAATATCTCAGCCCCGTTTTAACCTTGAAAAGCAGAGCAGAGGGTTTCATTTGAAACCTCACATTTATTTAAGTAAATTATACGACTTACATCCCCTCCTCTTCAAGCACTGGGGCAGGGCAGAGTAGATATGTATCTTCCACAACCAATGGCTTCACCACTAGAGAAGCAGAGGGGAAAAAGGGTCATGAAAAACAGCAAAAGCATGAGCCAAACTTTCCTGACTGGAATTGTGAGCAGTGTTCAAGGACACATGCAGCTCCTGAAACATGTTTTCACCTTCAAATCACCGTTTTTTATGACATCTCTGCCAGATTGCAGTAAAATGAATTTATTGACTGATTAGACAAGACTTAAATTTAATTCAACAAATATTTGACAACAAGAGCGGAAACTGCGCATTTGTTAACAGAAGTCGAATGATGTCACATCTTTCACTGTAAGTCGATTGACAAACAATTAGAGAGGACTGCATCTGCAAAACAAGCACTTTGTTGTTTTCCCATCTGAAGGCATCTGCACCCTGCTCAGGAATGCCAATACAAACAATTTCACCACACTTTTTGTTTTTCTGGCAAAATGTAGGTCTTCTCCTCATCCAGCTGGCTGTCCAGGAAAGCGGATCCAACAAACATCATCGCGCAAGCCTGTCTGCTTATCCTGGCAAGGCGAGCGCATACCCCAGAACTGAGGAAATCAACACAAGCGGCTGCTCTTCTCTAAAAAAATACAATGGAGGAGGGAGAGGAAGAGAGGCGAGAGAGGGAGGCAGCAAGGCCAAAACAGCTCCACGCCGCCACGAACTGGGACAGATGTCAGAGTTCAACTCTGCACCCACCTTGCACTCAGAGTGGCCTTACAGCGTGAAAGCAAAGTGCAAACTTTGTCCAGCTCAGAGCTGATGAAACACGATTTGCTGCAGTTACATTTTTCCACAATTTAAATCCGTGGTGGATAAAAGGATTCTGGCAGGCATTCGAAGTCAGTGTCATAAAGGTTTATAAGACTGTTTACTCCCCAAGCTCAGAGAGAGGTCATGTTTAACTGGGAGGTGAAGACAGATGACTGAAGTTCATCTTCAACCACTTAATTATTTGGAGTTATTGCTTAAGATTATGGCTGATTTTTGAGAGGTTAGTCATCCTCTGTACCATACTATAAACTCGGTGACACTGGTTAAATACAGCGGAGTTCTGAAGAATCTTACAGTTGCAAAAGCAAAAAGCGCAGATGGTTACTTGTGCTTTTTTCCCAGCCTGCACTGTGAGAGTTCTCAGGAAAGCATTGTGTAAAGCACAACCATTTGTGTCTAATTGGTTTAGTCAGACTGCCTGTGTCTGTGATTGTAACCGTAGATGAAGATCATACATCACAGGGTTCTGTTCAGCTTGGGGGGAAATCCCCTTCTTGCCAGGAATAAGATGCTCATACTTCTAAACCAGGAGGTGGCTAGATCGGCTTAGCTTAAAGATAGTAAACCAGAGGAAACAAGTAAACTGACACTGCTCACAGGTAACAAAAATCTTCCTACCTCTTATTAACAAAAGCCACGATCCTGATAATATTAGTGGACGCCTATTTAAATCTTGTGCTAGAGAACTCAGTCTTTTATTTCAGGTTATTTTTAATAAATCTTTGCAAATGCAACATGTGCCCTCTCTTTGGAAAGAAGCTGTCGTTGTTCCTGTCCTTAAAGCTGGTCGCCTGAAAGTTCTGACTGACTTCAGGCCTTCACCTCAGTCGTGATGAAAGTCTTTAAAAAACTTATCAGGATGCACCATTGACTCTACTTAATCTGATTTCTAAACATGTAGAGAGTAAAGAGACTTTTGTACGACTTCTGTTTACCGATTTCTCCTCTGCTTTTAATAAAATACACCCCAATATTTTAATCTAAAGACTTTAAGAACAGTTTGAAGTTGGGGAAAACCTGGTGGATTAGATTTTAGACTATTTAGCTGACAGGTCACAAAGAGTGAGAATAAATGGGGTTCTGTCCGACCCACTGTTCTCCTCTACAGGTTTTCCCCAAGAGCGTTTGTTATCGTGCTTATTATTCATTCTCTATACAAACATGTGTCAGAGCAGATATAAAAGCAGGGCCATCATTAAATATGCAGATGACTCTGTTATTGCCAGCTTACTTAAAGAGGGTGAAACTACACACAGTCTAGTTATTGATGACTTTGTTCATTGGCGTGAGGAGTCTTAACTCCAACTGAACATATCTGAAAAAGAAGATATGGTTCTTGATTTTAGGAAGCAACAAAATGGGCATGGAGTCACTTTAATTAAAGGGTCACCAGCGCATTTAGTGCCTTAGGAAATTTGCTCATTTCCACATTGACCGAACAATCGTTCTTTTATTGAGTTTGTTGTATCTTTTTGTTTGGTGGCATGGTTCGGTTAGACCTCTGTCACAGAGAAAAGCTCACTGAATCAGATAGTGAGACACTCCAGTCGTCTTATATGTGAGTCATGGCCCTGTCTGGCTTCCCTGTGCTCTAAACAGCTACAGAGGAATGGCTTTATAAATCTTTAATAATGGCTCCCATCATTTATGGGGTGAATTTCAGCTTCTCTCCTCTGGATGGAGGTTTCTAGTCCCAAAGTGTGGGTCAAAGAGTTATAAAAACAGCTTTGTCCCTGCTGCTGTCACTGAACTCAATAAAAACTGTTTTATTGAATTAATCTTGTCAAATTATCAAATATGTGTTTGTCGGGTTTAATGTGTGTTTTGTGAGGGGATGCCAAATGCAATAATTTTTTCTGTACAGCAAATTTACCTACAGGTATAAATAAAGTAACCTTGAACCTTAATGTCTTATATTATATCAACGGTGTGACATAAACCACATTTATTCAGTGTCATGCTATGACTCAAACTGTCAGCTTTAAAAGTGCTGTTGAGTGGATTTGGTCACATGTCGACAGGCCCAGGTTAGCCGTAGCTTCAAGTTTATCAAACAGACACAGGACTTGTGTGGATCGTTTCATCTAACAGTGTTAATTTCTTCTTGTCTCTTCTTTCACCCTTCCCACAGTTGTCCAGTACAACATCTGTCACAAAAACAATGAATAGCTCAGGACAGGAACTGCCAAATCCCTGCACGCCTGGCTATACTTGCTGCTACTTTTTCCTGGGGATAAAATCCCAAACATGGATTCATCTGCTTGACACATGTAGTTGCATGTTGTTGCTTTCCTTTTATACACTTTTCCAGACTTGCAAAGTAAGCAGAGGGCTGAGAGCAGGAATCAGAAGGAGCAATTATTTCTCAAGAAATGATACATTTGTCTCTCTGAAAGCTAACTGTGACAATATTATTTTTCATTGAAAGCTTACTGCTGATGTAAAGTAAACAAAGTCCAGAAGTCTGTGTGCAAAGGTTCTAGAGGAGTGAATGAATGTGGAGGAGGAACCTCCACGTATAATGGGATTGACATGAGGAGATAATTTTGCTCAAATTGCTTCCATGTCATCAGTTTTACAGGACGTTAGATAATATCATGCAAAAACAATTAGAATTCAAATCCAAGCTCCAGAAAATCATCTCAGTGAATTTGTAGATTTAAACAGTAAAAACAATGAAAGTAGAAACGGTCACAGTGGTCTTACTTCCGCGGAGCACACATTTCATTCTATGTAAATGCTGGTTATTGTCCTGCTTTGTAATTAGACCGTCACCTCATGCAGCTGCAGTGGCTTGTGAAGTAGGAAGCGTTACTGTAAGCCACTTTAAAGATATTTCCTTTGTGTGTGGTACAGGTTCTCCTTAATCTCCTGTTTTAATTTTTACCTTGATTCCAGACTGTAAAATTACACCATGTGTTTGAAAAAATGCATAAATAAAACCTGGCTGCTCATTTGATCATCGAGGACTCCAGCGGTGTGGCTCAAGTAGTGTTTATCTTTTGGGAAAATCAGGCCGGTGTAATTTAGGTGAATTTCACAACGTCTCACACACTCATCTGTGTTTTCCAGCCGTCTTTGTCATAGTTTAACAGCATAATCAGATATGATGTTATATGGTAATAAAATAGCTCATGCAGTGAATAAGGGGTAACACCCTGATAAGCAATGCTTCACTTACTCTTAGTTAGGGTGTCGTTGATTCGAAAGCTGCACAGCACTTTGTCAACATTTCGGGCGTGAAGGAATCCACTTCCTCTCACCACCACTTGGAAGGACTCTGACAAGGCGAAGAGAAGCACATTATGTCACCTCATCTATGAAATATTATTGAAAATAAATGAAGTTATTTCATCTTCTTTGGTCCAAATAAGTAATCCCAAGCAGCAGTTTACATACACTCGTGTTGAGCATGAATGTCGTGGAAATTTGGAGCTTTTAATAATTTCTTTCAACAGCTCTTTTTCCAGGGGAAATTAGTTTAAAACAAGAACTGGGTGTGCAAGTTGGATTTTCTCTAATCCACACAGGGTCAAGTGTGGATTCCCCTCAGATGAGAGGAAAATGGCGTTCAGGAAGATCCAAGAGTTCCATGAACTGGAAACCACACGACAAAAACCTTTTTCACCATCCCAGTAAAGGGAGTTTCACATCGCCAATAGATTTAGAGGGTGCTGACCAAGAAATGTTTGGAGTTGTAAACGTGAGACTTTCAAGACAACTAAACCAGCTGTCAAGCATGGTAGTGGTAGCATCATGCTCTGGGGCTGTTTGCTGCCAGTGGTACTGATGAACAAAATAGATGGTAAAATGAAGGAGGACTGCCTCCAAAATTCTTTGACACATTTCTTTCCCAATAGGACAATGATCCCAAACAAATATCCCTAACATTAAGCTTCTTGAATGTTCTGACGTCAACCCGAAAATTTATGAACCAGGTCTGTGCCGGGAAACTAACAGATTTAAATGAAATCTACCAAGTCTGCCAAGAAGAGTGCTAAAATATCCAGACAGAATTACTCCAGAAACTCATTGATGGCTACCAAAAGTTTCTTGCCGGATACAGTTTGGGACATTTAATCAAATATTAGTGTTGGCGTATGTAAATGAGCCTGTGACCCTGAAAGAAAATCAAGCACCCAATTCTTGTTTTGTTTTGTTTTTAAATTCATTAAAGACATAAGCAATTATTACACTCTGGAAAAAGAAGACTTCATTAAAAGCTCTCAACTGATAGATTTCGATTCATGATATCCATGCCCATGATGACTGCTTGAAAGCTTGTGATACAAATATACCATCCTAGAAGGTAAATGCGCTCTACGAAAAGACTTTTCGGCATACTCAAATTCATTCACCATCTTAAGAAAAATCCTAATATTATAATGAGTGGCCTGAGGAAGGTGAACTAGAGTAAAGTTTTACCTCCTGCACAGATACTGGATGGTTCTGCTGCCAGGATCTCGATACAGGACTTCTTCAGGATCTGAGGGACACATTGAGATAAGCACTGTGGTTTTCCTGCTGTCCATCTTTCTCTCGTGGTCATCTATTTCTTTCCACTTTAAATGGCCACTTTGAGCCAAGTCCACTTTTATGTCCTTGTTAAATAAACGTTTGCTCCCATTTACATCCTGTATTTCCTTGACTTATTCGAATAATGGTGTAATTAATCAGCATCTCCTCAACATTACTAATCTCACATGTGTACAGTATTATCAGTGTTGGGGAGTAACGGAATACATGTACCGCCGTTACGTATTTAAAATACAAAATATGAGTAACTGTATTCCGTTACAGTTACCGTTTAAAAAGGTGGTATTTAGAATACAGTTACTTTGTTGAAATAAATGGATTACACGGCGGTATTTTCCTGTTTCATTTTGTCGCGGGTCAGGACTGTTTGGGTTTTGTTTGACAGCTATGTTCTGTTGTTCCAGGCGGCAGCGTTATGGTTGCCATGGTTAAAGGGTGACGCGCGCTCTCTCTGCGACTATGTGTTTCCTGAGTGAGAGAGCACCTTTTTGTTGTTGTTGTTGTGCTAAGCTAATAGGCAGAATGCTACAGTCATAGCCCTAAAGAATGTAGCCTCATGGGCAGTGTAGTCCGTGCTGCTGGGAGAATGGACTGCCATACACGTTATGTGTCTGTGAGCAAGAGGAGGGAGAAAAAGGAGAGTGGAAAGGTACGAGCAGTCATCGAGCAGAAATGGGAGCTGGAAGCATGTAAATATAATAATAACCACTGCAGCCAAGAAGAGTGCCTGACGAGCCCAGTTGTAAGTAAGCTATTAATACTCGACTGTACTGTTGGTGTTTTCCTCCAAAACAATAAGTTCCGTTGGAGCAGTCTTTCAACGCCTCTCTGTCTCAAACTTGACCCAGACAACAAAGTAAAGCTAGGTTTCAGCTATGAGCCCGACACGGAACCCGACGTATTAGTCAGAGGTCCCTTTACTACGGTTCGGAGCCGTGGACCTTCAGCAATAGTAATAAATCACACAGCAATAGTACATTCATGTAGTTGTAAAAAGCATGATAATATATTAAGTAATCCAAAGTATTCAGAATACGTTACTGTCATTGAGTAACATAACAGAATACGCTACAAAATACATTTTGGGGCATGTATTCTGTAATCTGTAGTGGAATACATTTTAAAAGTAACCTTCCCAACACTGAGTATTATATATATATTTGTTGCTCTCCAGGAACATACCCTCTTTAACCCTGAAGATCAAGAGGACGATTCATGATCAACTGCCCCTTTCACATGAGTGAGAAGCAGCTGCTTTCAACTTGTCATTAAGCTGCTCCAGATGTAATTCAGCTGTCTGGCCCTTATTTCTGCTCAACAAATCCCATATCCCAGTGACATCAGCACATTCACAACAAACTAATTCAAATTTTTCATCCTAGCATTCAAATGGAAAACACTGAGGTCAATCTTAAGAGATACAGGACATACTTTGTGTTTATCAGTCACACTGATCAAAAGAAGGAAAGTCCCAGCAGGTTTTCCTGGAATTCTGTCTCTGTCCAGAAGGACTAGTTTCCTGATATTTGATCAACATGTTTATGGATTAAAGGGGAGGTCAAGGGAGAGATTATATAAAGCCTATTAAAGCAATAAGATCTCCGTTGACTTTTCCTGTGTCTGAAAGTCCTGATCATAACACTTCACACGGATGCCGAGCGTCTGTCTGATGTAAACATGTAGAACTGAAATGCTTACTGAATCGATGACTCCTTGCAGAGCCTCAAATCCATCATTTACAGGGAAGACGTGGTCTTTACTATCAGCAATGTTTGCCAGCTAGAGAGAAAACAAATTACTGTAATCAAAAGAGACAAGTGGCACACTTATTCATCCAAGATTTCCATTCAGACATTGTCCAGTGGCATAACAAAATTACACAACTTCCTTAAAATAAAACAGCTTCAACGACAAACAAAGGAGGCGGGGGGAAAGTCCTCTTCACTTGGCATGTTGCAGTGATTAGGAAACCAAGCCTTTGGATAAAGCTGCATAAGTTAAAACATATTTCATGTCTTTGCTGGAGTACTTAACTCACTTGAATATGTTTGCTTCAGCTGTCCATGAACAGAGACAGGGTTTAAATTACTTACAGTTATGACTTTATGTGATGTCAAGCACTTAACTCTTTAAAAACGCTAGTTTCAGGATTTTCAAAATAAAGTTTGGATTTCCAGAGCTTAAATTTTTACAGCAGTGCGATCCATTTCTCTCTCAAGTTCAGGTGCCATAAGCCAGTAAGGTTCAGACTAAAACTTAAAAGCATACACACACCTGTGTCTCATTGAAGTCCTTCACCCCCACGCAGTAAACCGAGGCACCCAGACTTCGGGAGCGGTTGGCCTGTCAAGTACACACACAGATTTACAGCAAAAACAGGAAGACCTGGCTTCAATTACACCTCTGCATTTCACAACACCATCCACAACAAACCCAAAAAAGGCTTGTTTTTATCTGGCACTTGGAAAAACTCTTTAAAAGAAGCCAGGCACCATCATAGTTCCACTTAATAATATTAATCACGCATGATGTAACATTCGAAACGTCCCTCAGATGCCACAAAACCAGACAGAACACATAAGTCAAATTTCCAGTTAATATGTTTTTGGTGTTGACATCGAGAAACAACCTAAGACCTCCCACAGCTTCCAGGAGGAACATTTCCAGGAACACCATCCTCAATGTCAACATGTGTCTGAAGCAACTAAAAGCTGATTAAAGCCTGTGGCTTTCACACGCCTTCACCTGCAAAGTCTGAATGATCAGAGGAGCAGCTGAATTATTAGAGGCCAGAGCAGATGCGAATGCGAGCTCTGATGTATGAATCCGGGGAAGGCTCTGGCCCCGCTGTCTGACTAAAAGATGAGGATCAAAGTGGTGATGTACAGAATGGCAGTGTTTGATCTGGTCCCACATATGTTTAATCGTTTACATAGTTCACCTGGTTGTGAAACACGTGTGACCTATTTTTTTCCTCTCACCTCCCTCTCAGCGTAGAAGAAAAGATCTTCGTGTAACTCTCCGTCCGTCAGAGCTATGATAACACTGGCAGTGCGATAACCTGTGAGCAAAAAGAATACAATCACCCCTGCTGCAGTTTTACTGGCCTAGCAGATGAAATACTCTAGCTACATACTTCAGCTATACAAACTAACATGATATTTGGCATCCTCCATATATAATTCCCTATATGCCTGTATGTTGTATCGTTACCATGACCCCACTCTACACCCCCAGAATTCATCCTAAAATTTCCAAGCTATCGTGTTTACAGGCAGAATGACACAAACGCATGCACGCGCTACCAAAACGTCGCCCACCTTGACTGAGCTAACAGAACACTGTTTGTAGTTACATGATCTAAACCTTAATTGTTGTAATTGCATATCTCATTCAGTCTAAATCAAATCACATGCATCTAAAGGCCTCCTAAAGGTGACCTCAAGTCAACGAGCAAATGTAAACCATAACTAAAGCCACGACTGTTGGCTCTTTCCGACGTGTGCATAAATTTTCAAAGGCTTACACTGAAGGTTACCTCTTCCCCTGAGCTCTCAGCAATAATTGTGTTGTTCTTTGTCAAGTTGTTTATTGTGACTAGTTTATAGGCCTGGACCAGTAACAGCATCATTAAAGCACACACACACACACACACACACACACACACAAGGACAAAAAAGGCAATTTCATGTGGGAGCATCACGTAACAGTGTTTTTTTTTGCTCAGACTCTAATTATCTTGTGACCCCTTTGACCTCCTGTCCCTAAAGTCGGCAACACCCATTTGAGTTCAGTAAAGCACAGAAACAGACAAAACTTTCATCCATTCGCAGGTTTTGGTAAAAATTACACTTGAAAAATCTGCAGCGCACTATAAGGAGGAATAAAACACACCTTCTATGTTTCCGTGGTATATCTGCTCACTGGCCTGCGAACAATAAAAGAAAAGATCAATTAAACATGCGTAAGCCCAGTAGCATGCAAGGAATGAGGGAACTCCTTGTGTCTCTAACATTTCAGTCATCTAGTGCTCTGAACTACGCGGTGACTGTGCTGCAGCTGAAGCAGGAGGTGCCAGCTTGAAGGTCCACTCACCCTCATGATGCCCAGATGCATGAAAGTGTCTCCTCCTGGTCGAACCAACTCAAGCTCCTCCAGTCCTTTGCGAATGCGTTCCCTGAGCGGACACGCAGAAGACAAGGGAATATCTAATCTAACTGAAATATTTATTTTGTCAGATTCATTTCTGAACATGGTTTTGCATAAAAACCAGATACTTTAGGGCGTGGCGACAGGATAATAGCTTCCATGAGGGCAGCATTTTGAGAAAATGCAAGCAATGTGTAACAGATGAATAAACTGGAATGGTATTGGTGTGTGTTGGCCTGAGACACTTTTGCACAGACAGACAGGAAATGAGTCTTTTGTAGAGGAAGCACTGAAACATTAAAAGATTGGATACATAAACTGTCCTCATCGTGTCAAACACCACATGATTAAGTATTTATGCAGACTCTGCAGAGCAAAGGAAAGTATCTGTCTGGAATCTCTTCTTGGTCATAAAAATCATAAGCGCATAACTGTATGTGACCTCAGTCCAGATCTGGTATTACGCTCATTCCTTTCAGCTGGATGGCAGAAAATTAAAGGATTAGGACCAGTTTTTGGTTTTTGTTTTTGTGGAGGAGGAGCTGCACCCACCTGTCTTCTGTGAGCCTCATTAAGATCTGTCCCTCAGTGGAGAACACAATGAAGGACATCCGCAACTGTGGGCTGGAGAAAAGACAGGAGAAAACATTCATCTGTCATCATTTCTTGTTACAAACTTTCCCACAGATTCTTGTTACAACACTTTTATTTCTTTACCTTATGAACTTCTGAGCTAAATTTTCAACAAAGTGATAGATTTCAGTCCAGTGATGCTGCACGCTCCCAGATCTGACAAGAAAAAGATCAAATTAATATGATGATGTGTTATTTAAAATCGCAGCTGTGCATCTAAACTACATGACCTCTCCTCTGGCAGTAGCCCAAGGCATTAATTTAAAACAAAAAAAAAAACCCTAGCACTTTCAGACAGGTGCAAGACCAAGTCTTAAAAAGACCCCAAAGCACCTGAAATTATACCACCATGTCTTTTGAGTCTTTTGTAAGTTGTTTTGTCTCCATAAAAAATGAACTTTATGTCTGTTTTAATCTTTGTATGTCACTGTGAATTATGGTTCGTGGTCTCTCTTCTGTTGTTTGTGTCTCTTTCGGGTAACTGCGGTCATGTTTTTGAAGCTGTGCATCTGTTTGTATTTGTGTCTCTTTCTGTAGCCACCGCCCCTGACATTGGGGGCCCTTGTGTCTATGCCCAGGGGGGAAGGAGTGCTTACAAAGAAAACAGCTGACTTGAAAGAGCCTGCAGAATAAATGCTTTGGAGAGCATGGTGAACTTACTCTACGAAGTAGTAATGATCTTCGAATTTCTAAAATCCTCTTTGTGCAGCTGTAGTTACTTTAGTCTTACAGTCATCGAAATACACTCACAATAAGGCTTCGTTAACCCTGCTGCATAATAACAGCTGATCAGTGTTTCTGTTAATCATCTTGAACTTTGTTCTCTCTTTACTGTCACAGTTTTTACTTAACGTTTTTCTTGATTGCATAGCAAATGCCACAGCAAAGTTAGCCAAATCCCACTCTGTTTTTTGTCAGGAAATAAAAATCAGGAGATCAAGGAGGGATTAAAGGATTCAGCAGAGAAGCTGTTTTGTATAGTTATCTCATTATTCAATTATCTGTATCAATATCAGTACACAGCTACAGTTTTTTTGGCTGATAACGCCGACATTTTGTGAGCCTAGATGTCTTTTGAATGTGTCACTGCTGATTTTTATCACGGCTTTCAATGAAATTGTGTTTTCATAACACACGTATTTTTCCATTGTCACCATGACACAAGTCCCAGCACAAACATCTGAGCCAACAGGCTGAAACACTGGAACATCTGGACCAAGTGGAGAAAGGCAGCGCAGACATGGGGAAAAGAGAGAAGAGGAGAAGAGAGATCAGGCAGATACTGTGAGAAGACAGTGAGGGCAGGTGGAGGACATCGCAGCTAAGAGGCAAAGTGAAGTCCCACCTGGAGAGGAGACAGACATTTAAAGGAACAGCTAATGCCCGACAACAAATGCTGCCAGGGTGCACCTGTAAACCTGTGTCTTTGAAACATGGCTAACGCAAACAGTTGCTCACTCCTGCATAAGTGCCTGATTTTTCCTCTAAGAAATAGCAGCATGTGCCTGGACTTGGCACTGAGAAGTACTGTAGGACAACTGGAAAATCTCTCTCTGCCTCTGCATGTAGAGACTCTCTAAACAATGGAGCTACAGAAAAATCCACCAATTAAAAACTCCAAATAAAAAAAGAGTGGTTTAATGAGTTGGATCTTTTTTTTTTCTTGGCCTAGTTGGCCAAGAAGTTTGGCATGTGGTGATATTATAATAAAAACAAGTCGTTTGAAACCAGGATTTAAAAATACAAATGTCAGAAGGTAAGTACTCTGCTATAGTCCAAAGGCAACTCCCTGAGCAATTTAAGCATCGGTTCTAGAGAGGCTATGTGCTGATTTACCTTAAATATTATTAGTTATTACCCTAAACGGATTAGTTGGGAAAATTCTAAATTTGCAGAGCATCAAAATTCAGGTTTAACTTATCAATGTATCATGTGCTGCCTGCAGAAACCTGCAAAATGAAAAGAGTCCACGACATGCCCCCTCCAAAAGACTGTCAACTGTAATTGTGATAGATTATTGTGGGAGGTTCGTGCCACTTTGCAGATTTGTACAGCTGTCTTTGCTGCACTGCTGAATGAAAAACAAAGATAACTCAAACTGAGCTTAGATAAACAGGGAAATGGATTCTAAATCATGACCTGTGTCCAAATAACTTTATCACAATGACTCCCTAAGATACACAGAATTTGAAAATCTGAGAATATGAAGAAACATAATTATCAAGACAAGCTTTTCACTGGCTAATGAGGTACGTATGTACACCAAACACAGCACTGTGACTGCAGCTGACAGTTAAATGGAGCAATAATCACAATAATGAAAACATTGCATCATTAACCCATTTTCCTGCATTGCATGACGCCAGACTTATAATGATAACAAATGGGATGATGACATCATAAAAACACTTGGCAAAACCATGATTTTATTGCTGCAGGGGACACAAAAAGCACAATTCTTTTATGCATAAAGTAAATATGCATTTTAAACTTCGTGCATAAGTATGATTTCATAACAATGCATAAAATGTTTAGCTAGAGAACTGTCTTAAGTTTTCAGGGTAGGAAGAAACTTTAGTGGAGGTAGAAACAAAGACAGACACCAAATTGTTTCGTCAACAAACGCTTCTTCCTAGATTTTTAAAAAAAATCATGAACTGCTTTCAGTTATCGATAGAAAATCAGGTAATGTCTGTCAGTTCACTCACTTATCCAAAACAAAGTAGAGATCAAAGCCTCCAAAGCACGAGGATGACTGAGGTTGCCTCCTGTCCTGATTCGGTCCAGCATTACCAGCAGTAAGAACGACCAGCGCAGTCCCAAACACCACTGGCAACCAGGAGCTTCTCTTCCAGCACAAAGGCATTATTCCAGAAAAAAAAAGCAAAAGTCTCATAAACATCAGATGATGAAGGAAACCAGCATCGGTTGTTTTCAAAGTTTTAATCCTCCTGCAGAAACTTCTTTCAGTTCTGCACGGATCCTTGAAGTGTAAAAAGCAATGATCCAATAGAGAGCAGCGAGCTTAACTCAGAGGGTGAAGAGGAGGAGAGAGACAAAGCACGAGTGCTATGGAGCTCACTGTTGTTGGGACCCTCTCATCAGTGGTTCCAACACAGTATTATGTAGAGATGAGAAGAGCCCCATGCACCCTCCCACTGATATTTGCTGTTTTTGTAAAGGGCAAGGCCATCCAGCAGAAAGATCCACAAACCCTAGAAGTCTAACTCTTTTCATCTCTCTCTCTCTCTCTCTTCCTTTCTAGAATATGATGCGAAGAACACAATGCAGAGCAAATACTGGAGTCTGCTGCCCTATCACACCATCTAGTGGTGATCAGTGACTGCCTTTATATAATTCACCCTTAATAAAGAGACCACAAATATTGTGGAATCAGTTCATGGTGTCTGATTCCTTGTGTGCTGGAACGTATTACACATGAAAACCAGGAGCTGCAGAAACCCAATAATGCTGAAGACACATGCAAAGAATTTATCTTGGTTTCATGATGCAAAGAGAAAGATAACATTAAGGAGAAGAAGTAAAACTAGCAACACATTTAGGTGACATCTGCATAACTGTGAAGACTGTGTAAACCAATTTCTGATTTCCATAAACAAAGTTCATTCATCAAACTTGAAGAGATAGTTACCGTGACAGCAGATTAGATGTTGCTAATGGCTTATGCATGAAGACACGAAGACTGTTGCCGTTGTTGCTGAATGCTGACCCCTTGTGGGCTCCAAAACATCAGTGAGCTGCACAGATGTTACCTACACACTACTAACTTTAACTTACACCAACTGAATCACAACCTTTTGGATGTCTGTGTCACATTGGAAGCCATTACAAATACACCAAAGGACCAACATTGATGGTAACAGTTAGCTTTAACTTCACTTGAGATTCTTGAGTTTAGACATTTGAAATCCATAATTCCACTCAAGTGATCTAAAGAATATGAGCTTTCAGTATTCATCCAGAATTTTTTTTGTTACTTTAAATTTTCTTTTGTCATTAATCAGCTTTTTCTTATGTACATTTAAAGATGTTCAGCTATTTCCAACTTTAAAACTTCTTCTTTTCAGCTTTCAACAGTTCTGCACTTTGGCTTCCAGGACAATGATTTGGTGTATTTCAGCTCATTTAACATTTTTTTTTCATCTGATTAGAAATATTGACAAACTATATCCAATGCAGCCTAGATATAAACCTTTGCTTCACAGACCGTGAATTACATATTTTTCCCCCCGAATCTCAATTGTTTTGTTTGTGTTGTATTTTGCTATACTACCATATTCAGTCGCAGACTACTGTGGCATCTCGTTGCTCCAACAGGTATGACTTACTTTTATCTCTAAATTCAACCGGCTGACAGCCACTTATCATTAGAGAATACTGACATTTGAGTTGAAGCTGTCTTTACGTCACATTTATATGGCAAAACCACCAGTTGTTTACTTCCAAAGGTCATTGTACATGCAGTTGTTAAAAGGAAAGCGCCCTGCATTAGAAACACAATATTCACTCTTCAAAACTCTTCAGATCTGACAAATCAGACTTCCACAATGGTGAGTTTTACTTTTGCAAATTCAGAAGAAACTCAGTTAACGGCTGATTTTGACAGGCTAAAGTAATGACAACATTATTATCAAGTGTGATGTTTACTGGTAATTAAATATACATAAGTACTTTGATGGTGCCTAATCAAACTTCAATTTTTCCCCTGAAGAAATACTTGGCTCTGGCTCTGCTCCTGTGCGCTCTGCTGTCACTGACAAATAGTCAGTGCTTTGTTAAGCCTCAGAAATATGGTGAGAAAAAAGGAATAATACATACTGAAAGACATAAAGTATATTCTTTGTGCACACACATAAACATTGAAAAATGTTCATGATCTTTTTTTCACTCATAGGTATGACCCATTGTAAGGATGATATGGATGAGACATGGCATGCAGTGGGATCTAAATGGAGAAACAGTAAATGCTGGGACTGTACTTGCCAAGGATGCTGTGCTGCGTAAGTAGATTTATTACTGTTATTTAAGTAGAGGAAAACATTAGTCATCTCGACTTTACATAATACACTGTTAACTGTGTTAACTTTACTTTATTGTCACAGGTATGCCACCCCACGACAGTTCCCCGACGACTGTGTGTCAGTGTTTGACTCAAAGAGATGTGAATATGTAGTGCACAAGAGAGATAACCCAACAGAACTATGCCCAATTTTTGCTGCAACGGGAAAGTGATTCAATCAATATTTAGACTCTTGAATAAAAATCCATAAATATGTCTTTGGTGAGTACCACTGAATGCAAAAACAACTAAATGAAATTATTAAAAGAAAAATGTTGGTGGTGATTCTTTTTATTTAGTCATGACTGCTATCGCCTGTCTGAGTTTGTCTTATACCCACTTCTTCAACAACTCTCTGACACTTTTTTTGACTCAGCTATCCCAACTTCCATTTCCACCCCCAGCTCCAAAGTCCAAGACAGAGATCTCTCACTCTGTCACCAAATACACCATCCCTTCAGCTATGAGATGAGATGTCTCATGAAGCTCTGATTTATTTGTTCTTGGTGTTTATCTTCAGTCCCAGTTAGTTTATTCAAACACATATTAAGCTACACTGTCAGCTTGCTATAATGTGGAAAATGGGATTAAGACATTTTCACCCAATCTGAGTACTCAGTGTCATGGTTCTGGGTCTCTGACCCTGTGTGGAGAGGTTGTTGGACTTCGAGGCTTTATTTATTTGTATTATCTCTTTGTTTTGTGGTTTGGTTGGGGTTTTACATTTAGTGTATTTAGTTCTCTTCCTTTAGTTTATTCCTCCCTCAGTGTTTATCCTTTCTTGTCTAAGCTAATGTATTGTAATTGTGTTCATGCAGATGTCTGTGCGTCTCTTCAATTATCACTTTTCTTGCCTCCTCCGTGTTGCGTGGTGAAGTCTCTGTCTAAGTGTTCAGTGTTTTCATGTTTTAATTACTTCCTGTCTTATTTTGATAGTCCCTCACTGGAAACAAAACATACCTGTAATAGTAAAGCACAGTGACAAGTCATCATGTGATATCAGAACTGAATATCTATTTACCTTGAAGAAAGAACTAAATCATTTTCCAAAAAATGCTGCCTGACCTTTGAAATTAAACAGAAGGGAGGGGTGGTCTATCCTACTGCCCGTAACTTCCAGTAAGCTTGTACGCTTGCATGCAAACTGTGTTTGTTTAAACTTGGCATATCAAGTTATTTCTCAGATTTAAAAGAAATAAAGAAGATCTGAATATTTGTTGATTTGACTGTTTAACTAATTCTTAAAATGAGTACAAACTAATAGAAAAACGACTTTCTCGAGCACCAATTTTGGTTGTTTGCTTTTTGAGACATTTTGACCTCTTCCACATGTATGTAGCGAATCTTCCCATCTACATCTACATCCAAAGGTGTTTAAAAGGAACAGTCAATTGTTGCTCAGACTGTTGCTTTTCAGCTCTATCAAATCTTTCATTTTTGTTATAGTTAACAGTTGTTTTGTACATTTCTGACAGGCTAAAATTATATAAATTATGGCAATAAGCAGCAATTTTATAAAACTTAATGTTTACTGGTAATTAAATGTACAGAAGTAATTACTTAGATGGTGCCTAATCAAACTGCAATGTTTGCTTTCCTCTGAAGAAATATTTGGCTCTGCCGCTGTGCGCTCTGCTGTCACTGACAAATAGTGAGTGCATCAACAAAAAAATTAGAACCTGGTAAGAAAAAAACAGAAATAACACACAGAGATAAACATACACTCACATTTTTTTAGTTCAATAGGAACTGTGCCAGAATAATATCTATCTATCTATCAACCCATTGTAAGGATGACAATAACAATTGGCATGCAGTGGGATCTAGATGGAGAGCTAATTGTTGGGACTGTACTTGCATGTTGCCGTGCCTGAGTGTTTACATTAAATTACTGGTATTTAAATAGATGGAAAAATCAATTATATTTGACTTTACATGATGCACTGTTAACTGTGTGTCTTTTGCATTATCACAGGTGTGCCACCCCACAACGGTTCCCTGATGACTGTGTGTCAGTGTTTGACCCAGAGGCATGTGAATATGTAGTGCACAAGAAAGATGAAACAACAATACGGTGTCCAGTTTTTAGTACAGTATTGAAGTGATTCGTTTTTTATGGCGTTCTGAAAGTCTGAAGATGGGCGTTTCATATAAATGATGCCTTTCATATCACTTTCGTGCCATTTTTCAAAATGCCTGTTAGTCGTTTTAGATTCTTGAACAAGAATTCATATGAAACCAACTCTCAGTCACTTTTTCAGCTCAGGCATCTCAACCTTCAGTTCCACAGGCAGAGATCTGGCAATCTGTCACTCACCAAATAACAGACGTGGGAATTATTAAAGGAAAAACACATCATTATTATACTTTGGGAGAATTTTCAAGTACCTTTGCTTTACTTGAGTATTTATTAGTTAATATTTCTGAGTATTAATAGTATTATTATTTATTCTGAAAACTTTTCACTTATACTCCCCACATTTTTACACAAATATCTCTACTTTCTATATGTATCTGTATATGATGTGAAGTTACGGGTTTTTTTCTGGTTTAAAGATTTTTTTAAAAGTATAAACAGAATACTATCAGTGGGGATGGAAACTGGCAATACGTTGTTGAATTCAGCTCTGCAAATTCATAAAGAGCATTAAACCTCAGCAGTGTAGATCAGTGTAGATTTTCACAAAGAAAATCTACTAGAGTTCATGGAAATTATTGTGATTTATGATTCTTTTCCCCACGCATAATCACTAAAACCCCCATCTGCCGAATCCCACTTTAACCCCTGACTATACTCACTTTTCTGTTTACGTGTGGAGGCAAAGTCACCTCCTAAAATTTAGGCAGCTTAAAATAGAGGGGTTTTTTTTAAGTTTTTAGTTTTCTTTGTTTGTGTTCAAGGTGATTTAATGCATTAGAATTAGAAATTCAATTGAACTAGAGTTCTAATGTAATTCTAATATTGTGTTACATTGAATAGCATGAAGTCCTTTGCACAGATGGAAATGCCCAACAAAGAGCTACTTTTAATGTATTATTTTGAGATTTCAGAGCCTGTACTTTTTCAGTTTTACTTGAGTAAGAAGTTGAATCAGTATTTGAGCTTTTTGAGCATTTTTTAATTATGTAGCTGTACTTCTACTTAGAAAAGAAATGTCTGTACCTTTGCCAACTCTAACCCAGCAGAATCAGATAATACTTGACTAAGCTGCTTCACACTTGGTGGGTGTTTTACAGATGCAAAAGAAATTCCAGCATCGAGGGGATGAAGTTGCTTGGAGCAGTGGTTCTCGTAACTTGTGCGCGTGTGTGGTGAAGTTTTTAATATTAAAACATTTTTAGAAGAATAGTTAAATTACAACAGAAACTATGTAAAGCTGGTTGTGATGGTCAGAGAGCAAGTAGATGGACATAGTGGTGTCAGCCATTGGTTTTGGACACTGCACACTGATATTATGAAATACTTTTTAGCTTTTTAGATTTTAAACGTGATCTCACCTGGACAGGAGGATAGATTAAGTAATCAAATTACAATTATGAACGTTATAGTTGCAACACAAATAAATATTGCTGTGGCAGTTTTTATAAAGGCATGTCACTGCTGCACGCTTTCAGCTCCAAATACAACCAAGCTATGACAGGTTATTGTTAGAAAAGAACAGAAACTTAAACGACATGTGACTTCAGTCTTGTAAAATGTTACACATGATTTTAATTGAAAGCTGTCATCCCTAGTCAGTCTGCTACCAAAACATATTTTCCTCATTGATTTCCTTCCTTTCTGATTTGTTGGTTTTACCAAATCTTAAACTGAACCCAAACTAATTTTTTTTTTACAAATCACCAGGAGCCTCTTGTTTTTGGCAGTTATCCAACCCTTGAGAATACCTTTATTAGTGATGTGATCTATGCCTTTATTGTATAATCTATGCCTCAAACCGTCCTTTCTGTAACTTAGACTGAATACAAGTCATAAAACAGACTTGTTACCCAAAATTAGTGACTGAGACCATATCGAGAACATTTATAATGAGGTAAAAAGCAAGGGTCGTTTTCTGTAAACTTTTGTAGGCTTATTAGTATTTTTGCAACTTATTTCTCTATTTTGGCTTTTAAAAAGAATGTAGGTTTAATGCACATTCACACTGGCTTCACGGTGGCCATATAGGGGACACTAAAAATATTGGAGTGGCACACCAAAAACAGAATTTTCATTTTTATTATGCTGTTCTCAAAAATAGGTTCCTTGAAAAATATGACAAAAAGAATTATATCCATCTATTCACTTCCACTTATCCTTTTTCAGGGTCGCACTATCCCAGCTGTTTTAGGGCAAAATGCAGGGTACACCTTAGCCAGGTCACTAGTCTGTCGCAGGGACACAGACAGCCATTCGCACTCACACCTATGGACAATTTAGAGTTTCCAATTAACCACTAACTGCAGGTCTTTGGACTATGGGAAGTCCACACAGAAAGACCCCTGATGGTGGAACTGAACTCAGGACCTTCTTGCATCAACAAGGCTAACCACCTTGCCACCGTGTTGCCCTGTCTAGTTAATTTCCTTTTTTTAAAGTTAATATCAGTGAAAACAGGTACATATGAAAACCATAATAATAATCTGTTTAAAGCAGGAACAAATAAGTTAATGTTTCAGCTCATTGCAGGGTGTCTTCCTCTCTTTTGTGCTCACTTTTATTAGAATTATTACCAACATAGGACAGCCTTGCAAGGCTGTGTCTGGTGGCGGATGTGTAAAGTCCAAAGTGGGCCCCGTGTAAATAGTATTAATAGGAGCATTAAAGCATTATAAGACAACAACCGCCTGCATGGCTGCAATTTGAAACCTGACGTGTGTACACGTCAAAAGAAGAACTCACTTTTGTAGGGAATTGTGAGGTCATGGAGTATGTCAGTTGTTTAACACACAATAGGAACATTTATAGATTTTTTCCTTCTCCTGTCACCCCGAAACCGGTTCATTTCTCTTGTATTTAATTAATTGTAGTTTTTACACTGAAACAGTGGCTTTATTATTGGTTTAATGAAAAGCTGAAACGGAACAGGATCCGGTGTTACTGTCACTGTCATCATTCACTGATCTGGAGTTCTGAAAGTGAAAGTCAGTTACTAATTGTATTTTTCTTGTTATTTACAGTTTTTAAATATAAGAATTTAGCAAGGGATAGGGGGGCGTGCAGACGTGTGGCAGGGAAATTCCTTAGAGCAAATCGCATCATTACATTACCTCTTTCAATGATGAGGATGTAC